GTCTGTACGACTTGACTGAATTGTTCCTTGAATTGACATGTGTTGTGTATTGGCTTTAAATATATAAACTGTTTGGAACTGAATGTATCCAAACCAATGAGTTGTTGATGTTCCCTTGTAAGTAATGAGCTAAGTGCTTTGTTCTCTATCTCCTCAATGTGAATATTGGCCACAATGAGTGAAGCTGCTTTTGTCTGAAAAAGTTACTGTTTTTGAAATATACGACTGAGAAAGAAAGGTCCAACAGGTCACAAATCTAGTTTGATCTTAAACTTGTCTCGTCTTTTAGAGATTTATCATGTTTCATTTGAGTCCTGACAGAGTCCACTGCCTTTGGTGTAGGAGAGCAGGGGGAGAGATATGTAGAATTAAAAGGAATATTGTATTCATCAGGTGGGACCAGTTTCAAGTTTATTCAGTAATTGTGGGCACTCTACAGATGTGTTACTCATTTTCAGAAGCGACTGTAACTTTTAGCTTTTGCCTTTCTTTACATACAAATAAACTGCAAAAAAAAAAACAAATCAAAGTAAGAGACTATTGTGTTTTATTGTTGTTTTTTCTGACATCATAGAAAAACTTCTGAATAAAGCTTAGTGAACTATCCATTATTAAAACTACATTTTTTAGACTGAGGTCAACAAGCTATAGTAGTGCTTCAGGATTTGAACAAGTAATTGACTTAAAATTATTTGTCAAGAATGTTTATTAAACTTTGTGTCACCACATTGAGTAATAAATCATGTTAAAATGGACCTTCTGTCATCATTGTATTAAGGTTGCCAACCAGTTGATGGATACTTTATTGCTTAGGGATGCTGCTGTGGGTAACATATTATCTATTATATAAATAATAATGCTGGAGGCATGCCATAACAGAGAAATTTCTGTCTGATGTAGGTTCATGGAAAAAGGATGTAGAATGTACTTTATGCAGTTCAGTTTGTATATATAAAACTCCTTAAATGATTGCCTACAGAAAATATAATCCATTTAGCCATCCTTTATGGCATAGTAGCATAAACTTCTGAAGCAGAAATTACAGATGTGCAAGGAAGGCGAATATGTGATGACAGAATAGGAGAGGACATTACCCAAAATATCTATTAACATGACAGAGAAATACTTCTACTGTGTTTGATTGTGAGGGCTTTCATGGCTTAATGCACTTCATATTATATATTATATTTTTTTAAGAGCTCCCATCACTGATTGCTGGATTACGTTGAAAAAATAGAGTGATATAATCATTTCATTTTTTTTTATTCAGGACCCTAAGGGGTGTCTGTTTTTTTTTTTTTTTGTATATGTTGTTTTGTTTGTTTTTCTTGTTTTTACTTTATGCTGGATAGTACCTCCTGAATCCAAGAAAAGTCTTGTTTCACTAAAACCCTATGAACATGAAGATATCTGTATATTATGCAATAAATAAGCATTGCAAGGTTTCATTCATACAGACACACGCATACACTAGGGCTGGGCGATAATTCAATAACGATATATATCGATCGATAGACGTGTGGCGCAATAGAAAAAAATAGTGTCAATAAAAGTTCGATAAAGAAACACAGTTTTCCTTCCTTCTCATTGTAGCCTAGCATGTAGGTTTATGCTAGTCACTACTTCCTCCTAACCAATCGCAATCGCGGACCCAGGCATGCCGTCACAAAGCGCCGCCCTCTCAAACCACAACACACATGAAGCACATGAAGATGTCGCAGCAAGGAGAGGCGGAGGAAATTGTTTCAAAGAAGGGTTTTTGTAGTTCGGCAGTTTGGCAGTATTTCGGTCATGGCAAGTCGGACAAAAAACAAACCACAGTCATCTGTTAAATGTGTCGGGAACCAGTGAAAACGAAGTGTGATAACACAACCAACTTTTTTTTTTATCATCTCAGCCGCTCACAGCCGCAGGAGTACGAGCTGTGTAGGCCCCGGCATGGCTCTCCTCCGAGGAATCTTCGGGGATTTTTGGAAAAAAAAAAAAAAAATATATATATATATATATATATATATATACATGTATATATATATATATATATATATATATATAAAACTAAGCTGAACCCTAACGAGGTGTCAGCAGCACCTCTAGAAGAATAGGGGTGAGAAATAATATCCCATAGAAATGCTAGGCTAAAGGGTGAGTTGATTTGGGTTTTTGTTCTTGTTGAGTGGAGTTTACATGGTAGCCTAGTCCTACAATCTTTTAATTACCACAAGCTGGTGGTGTACTATTCCCACCCAAATAGGGTATTCTATTTATTTATTTGTTATATATATTTTGGTAACTTTTCTGGTCATTTTAGTTTATTCTTTGTCAGTATTTAATAACATAACTCAGGTCTCTTAAGTTATTTTTCTTTAAAACAATTCTGTTATGGTTAAAAAAGTTGGTTAAATAAATATTTAATTGGAAGTCTGTGTTTGTGTTCTTTATTAAAATTAAATCATTTAGCAATATCATAAAAAGTCCAGGCAGAGCTGCATATAAAATATGGTTTCAAATCTTTTCAATAATTATCGATATTGATCAAAATGCATTTTTTTTTAATCGATGAGCTTTTTTTATATATCGCCCAGCCCTAGCATACACCCAACAAAATTTGTCTCTCTATCTTTGCTGAACCTATCTATTGATTTCTATAAATTTCAACATTCTAAAGGCTGATTTATACTTTGAAACTAGGTCTCGCCCCCTCCGCAGACACACTGCTGCACCTCTCCAAAATTGTAGGTGACCACAGACAGTACCGCAGACAGGAGTCTTCTGATTGGTCATATCTACATCCGCTATACTCATGCGTATTTCCTGTTTGGCACCTTACCAGCTTGTTTGGTTTGTATGACCACCATTGCGGAAAACCCTTCGTGAAGTTGGACCAGCTAGAAGAGCGAGGTGCGCGAGAACGCTGGGACCTTTTTTCCACCTGGATCCCCGCTCTTTTTTGTCCTCATGTCCCTCCCATCTTCGGAAAAACTTGCCCCCACTTCCTCAACATCTCGCCCGTATCTTGACCCACAGCTAGTTCGTGATTGTCCCTCACTATAACACACTGCTGCGGGGAGTATAACCAGCCCTTAACCGTGACCCTAACCCTAACCTAAACTCAATTCACACCTTAGTCCTAAACGTGACCCTTGGCTAGAAAACACCAATTTCCCTCGTTGGGTCCAGGCATTGGGTCCTGCAATGTCCCTGTCATGGTTTTGGTTCTGTTAAAGTTTTATTTTTTAGTTTTCATTGATTTCATCTCCATATCTGGCTGGTTTGTACTGTCACAGTGGGGTGAGGTTTGACAAGAGGACCCAAATACAGACTTAAGCTGAAGGGTGTTATTTGCAGATTTACAGTATTGCCCAAATCGTTTAAAAGAAGCAAAACTCCAAAAAACACAAGTCCACAAAAATTGAGAACCAGGAATACTCACAACAAGGGGACAAATAAATAATGACAAACCAGCAACAGTGAGTGAGCAGGAGGTGCATGTATGGGAGAGAGAAACAAAGACCAGGCTAATCAGCAGATTGGGAGCAGCTGTGAACAGGTGTGAGGATTGTAGAAAAGAGCTGGGAATAGGAGAACACAAGAGGGCAAAAGGGGGCAAACAAGAAATACCTAAGAACTCCAATCAAAACTGACTAGAATAACACACAATGGAAATAAAAACCAATAAAAACTCAAGATAAAACTCAAACAGAACCAAAACCATGACAAAAGCAACCCAAACCCCACAACGTGCCATACCCATATAAATGAGTATCTAATTTAATGGCTAATTTTAATTTTTCATTTTCTAATTATTTCAAACTAAAAACCAGAATGCACCTTAAATTTATCCCATCCAAGCAACCTACTAAATATACTGCCACATTACAGGAACTATCAGCTTTATATTAATTCAGCTACATGTTGTGTCTGATTTCACAGTATTAAGATATACTAAATAAAAATATATGGATGCGGTACTTTAACTAGCAGGGGTGAATGGTGGGCAATAGTTTCTGTTAAGAAAAAATATAATTTTGTCAACAATTCATTTTGTAAAACACATCTTTCACCACCATTTATCTCTAAAAAAAAACAATCTTTACATGTTCAATAAGGTTTTAAAAACTTAAATATGGTATAAAAATGAGCTTCATACTTACACATTTCTTTCAGTGAGATATACAGGGTTTTCACCAAGCACCCACATTCTCATACACTATGTTTTAATATAACATTGTGCTTGGATTACTGCAACTCTGCAAAGATGTTACATTTCCTCCTCCTTTTTTTCTAACATAAAAAAATTTCAGACAGCACCCAAACCTCCCTACCTCCACTGGTGAGAACGCAGCTATACTTTAGATTTTTTTTTTTGCACACCCCTAGTTGATACTTTTTGTATTTATCCAAGTACAGTACAACAATTCTACTGTTGCTTTTATACTGCACCAAACAACGAAATAAAAAATAATCACCATTTTAAACAAAATGAAACAAGTAAATAAAGTACTCTTAAAATCTTGGTTCGCTTCACAACATCCTATTATAACTCGCACAAACTACTTGTCCTACTAAGCAATAATGATAATGAGAATAAAAGAAAATAAAAACAAAAAAATTTGCAAAACCTTTTAAAGCCTGTTTAAATGGAGAAATATCCCTGTTCTTATTTGTGAGCATATTTTTTATATTTAATATTTGACAAAGAGAAACAAAACTGCTAAAGGTTTAACCTTGACCTTACATGAAGCTCACAAAAAAGCAACATTTCATGTGTGTCAGTTTTGATGAGCACAATTTTCAGTCTTTCAAAGTGTTGGACTCATATTAACACAAGACACGTCCCATCCCACCTAATGACCTAGAGGCAGAAATAGGAAGACGAATTCAGTGAGGTGGAAAATTATCAAACGGAGACGTTAGAGCGAGGGCAAGTCAAAGAGAAAGGGATCCAGGAGTTGAAAGAGAAACTCATCCGATCATGTTTACAACAAAAAAGGGAGGCTTACCTAAAGGTGACATCTCCGGTACCCCTGCCAAGTATGGCCCATCAAGAAACTTTGGTTCATTGTCATTGATGTCCTGCACCTTCACCACAAACTCAGACCTGGGTTCTACAGGTAAGTCGGTTAACCGGTCTATAGCCTGAGCTTGTAGGGTGTAGTAGGCCTGGGCCTCCCGATCAAGGCGCTTTGTGGCGTGGATGTCTCCAGTGTTCTCATCGATAGTGAAGATAGAGGTGGCACCCTCACCAGATAACACATACTTCACTTTGCCATCTCCTTTATCCACATCAGAGTGCAGCTGTTAAGAGAAAAGAGAAAGGGTTCTGTCATATAAGATGCCTAATGATCTACTGAAGAAAAATGTATTTAATATTAAACCTGAAAAGCTTGGCTTAATAAAGGATTACTTCAGGGTTCCTGTCCCACAGGGTTGTCATTCCAGCAATGATTAAATTATGATTACGCCATTGGGGTTAGAACCCACATAACCCATTCAGAGATGTTTATTAATTTAACTGGATTAGAATTTAAACTATGTTACATTTCAGTACATTTCATGTATTTTGTCATGATGCACTGCAGCATATTTGTTATGAAATCAAGCCTATAAATTATTTAATATTCAAACCATGTAATTTGTTTGCCTTTCATGTCACTTGCAAAAGTGTACAGAGAGTGAAAGCAAACACATGGTGTTTGTGGAGCACATTAAAATCAGATCAAATGATCAAAATTTATGAATAATTTGTTTTACAAAAATTAATTTCTATTTTTCCCAAGTACAGAAATTAAAGGCTGACAATTTAACAATGATATTGCTAAGATATTAGTCATTACAAACAAATAGCAACAAACTAAATCACCTACTATATGGACAGCAAATTCTAGAACTACCAATGAAACAGTACTTAGGCACTAAATGGAAATCCTTATTGTTGTTTTTTTTTTTTCCTTTTGGAAAAAACAAATATATCACAGAAATGAATACCTCTGTAAAAATCTGTATGCAATATTCACTAAAACCCTTCAAAATCTTTTGGGTTAGAAAACATGTCCAAGGTAATGTTTTTTTTTTTTTTTGTAACAGTGTCCTGTCTGACAATGTGGCAATAACAATAATTGTCTTAAAGCCAAAAAAAAGGGCAGAGCAGATTTTGCTTTCACGAGTGGAGCAGCACGGCTATCGCCATAGTGTTCTGTTTGCTTTACGCAGGGAGTATTACAGATTATATGGACATGGCAATGTAAGTAGAACAGGAAAGGAAAAAACTGGAAAAAGGAGAAAAGATGAAAGAAAGTAGATTAAAGGGAGACAATGATAAAACATCTTCAGTGTGTTTCATCACCTGCAAAGAGATGTAAAAAGAATAACATATATAATACCTTGATACCTTGATACTATCTCTGAAGTATAAGTAGTAATAATTATATTATCTGACATGTGTACCGTGGTAGATGATGATAAGAATATGGGCTTTCTGTATGGAAGTGAATCTCTAAGTACCTGGAACCAGTGCACTTGTGCATGTAAAGTTTATCCAAAGGGAAAATGCTCAATAGTGGTTGTGAAGAGCCAAAAACCGGCCCCCCAGAGCACAGAGGCGAGCGCTGTGGGACCCAAAACCTTAGATGCCCAAAGTGATCCTCAAAACAAAGGAAATCCCCCAGCTGCCACCAGGTCATGTGCCCTGCGGACCCAAGCCCCCAGGGGTGCCCTGTCCGAGCCATGTACGAGCCCCGGGGGGGAAACTTTCAGGAACAAGCCAGCACCAGCCCGTGCATCCATCCTGAAACACCCAGCACCACCAATGCGTGTGTTGTTTTCAGATGTAATTAAAACTGGGAGTACCACAGGGGGTGCCCAGTATGGCCCACCCACCCATTCAATACCTTAATGATTATTTTTTAAAGTAAATCCTGTGATTAAAGTTAATGTAAGGTGGTGTTACATCAGTCCCGTTTTAGAAAATTTCTAGACATCTTCAAAACAAAGACAATCTGTGCGAATCCAAAACATGGAAAAAGAAACTAAAAGTTTAAAATGATTTACATTGTCATGGTTTGCAATGAGTAACATAATGGTCAATACCAAACAAGATTGCTTTTTTACAATGGAATAAAAATCATACACATCTTTAATTTCTTTTACAAAAAGCCTAAGACATTTGCTTTGCTTGTACCCCAAAACAAAGTCAAGTCATGAACGTTGTTGGTTATTAAAATCAACAACCAAAGGAACGACTGTAACTATGGCTAAACTGCAGCAATCAAGCTATTAGTGGGGGAAACTGTTGACAGTATAACTATTAGTTACCGTACATGCTACTAAAATCTGATAATTATTGAAGGGTTGCAATTAAAAACATGATGTAGAGAAAGCCAGAAGAAAGACAGAGGAAGTCTCTTTCAAATTATAATAAAGCAGGATGGTGATGATAAAATCAGAGCTATGAGATGTTTTAGATCAAGGTATATTCCTTTGTTAATATCTAATATGTTAATATGTCTAAAGTCCCTACCTAAATTTAAATAAATAGAAAAGCTTGAAAACTATTCAAAGATGAGAAATGATAGAGGCCAGAAAGTTGTCCATTGTTTGACCCTCAGCTCAGCCCATCTCAGTCGTCTCTGTAAGGAAGACACATGTCACATCTTCTACTGATGGTGGTCAAAGGGCCTGGAAGTGCCTGGGCACGGCAGCTTGCTTCTGCTAGTGTGCCCAATTGTTGCTGCAATGTAACTCGACATCACCATTATGCGTGAATGACTGAGTGTTTTATAAAACAATTTAAAAATCCACTACATATGTACAAACCCTATACCATGGCTTTTATCCAGCCTGTGTTGGTGGGAGTGTTTGCAAAGTGGTTGAAAGATTAGCTCAGCAGAAAGAGTGGCTCTGATGCAGCTTTGGGATTAGGATAAATGATAAATGATTTACCAGGGCTAAATTAAAACATTTTTTCTAAAAGCCAACACAAACCTGTTAAGAGTATTACTTATTTCATTCATGTAATAATATCTTTTATTTTCAATTTTGATTCAAAATAGCTTTTTTTATACTGCACTCCGTCACCTTACATCCCAGCCATACGCAGTCCCTGATCGGTTTCATGGTGCTACTTGACAATAAAGTTCAGATTTTTTTTTATTAAGTGACAGTTGTTGCTGAGTCATTGCACTACAGTCACTTCATCGCAATCATCCCAATTACCTGTCGCGTTGATAGAATGTGACAGGTTTCTTTCTTCCACTCACCCTCCCCAGATAGGTTATCCGTACCTGCCGGTAAGCAAAGCAGCATCAGCGCAGATCTACCTTACTATCGTAGTGATAATCAGTTTCCTCTTTCCTCCCACAGTGCTCCTAACACTGACGTTCCGAACCTCGCCTGCAGCTCACGTAGTTAGCTCTTCATATTCGTGTGTAGCCTAAATAAACATCTTAAACTGCTCCTTGTTCTCTGCCTGTGCCTCCATGTGGGCCAAACACCTTGAAACCATGACAGAAGAACACTCTGGCTAAATTGACCGAGCAGACACTTTCGGTGGGCAGCTTGCTGCCCAGCAGGAGTAGTTAAATACTCTAGGCTTTGCGGTAAATTATCTCTGGTAACCACAGACTCTTACTGTCGTTTTTTGTTTTCCAGTAAAACATTCTTCGGTGTTGTTGGGCTTGGCTTGGCTCCAGAAACATTATCCCCATCTTAACTGGGCGGAGCCTCGTTTAGAGTCCTGGTCACCTGTTTGTCATTCACGTTGTCTCCAGTCCGCCCTTTCTATTTGACACCTATCCAACTCCTCTCCCAAGGGAGAAGATTCTGTGGATTTTAGTTTGGCGCCCGAAATTTACCATGACTTGTGCCAGGTTTCCAGTAAAAGTAAAGCCTGTTCTTTACCCCCGCACCACCCCTATGACTGCGGCATTGATATTTTAGCTGGTGCTCCTATACCCACCAGCCGAGTTTATAACATCTTGAGGTCGAAACGTCAGGCGCTAGAAAAATACATTGGAGAGTCCCTCGATGCACGGTTGATTCGTCCATCCTCCTCTTCATTTGGCGGGGGCTTCTTTTTTTTTGTGGGGAAGAAAGATGGATCCTTCATCCGTGTATCAACTAGCGAGGGCTAAACCAGATCACAGTGAAATGTGGCCAAGGAATGTAGCCTTCTTTTTGCCCATTTTGAAAGACAGGTCCAGTGTATCCTACGTAGCCTTAGGTATCCCGAGATTAATTGCAAGTCCAAGTGAGCCAGCTGCTCCGATAGCCAAAACTCTTCAGGCCTCCTTATTTTCAAGGTCCAAGGACCAGGTCTAGCTAGACCTCTGAAATCAAACACACCCTTTTTCTACAGAATGACATGAATAATCTATGTGTGCCTGACTTCAGTAACAATGCTCAGTCATACCTGGGATAACCTCTTAAAACCTACCGGGTCGCCGGCGACCCAGTGGACCTTAAGTTGAGGTAATAATTCAGAATGCATAAAATTCCATCGTTAAAATTTTTACCAGCGGGTGGAGCCATTGCGCGCAGCTCCAAGCTGACACCAAAACTTCAAAGCCCCACAGCACTGGAAATGTTAGTTTGAGGTCTGAAATTTTCTGCATTTGTGGTCAACATGATGTAGAACAAATATAATACAATAAACCCTGCTTTTTCTAAAGAATATCTTTATCACTGCTGTTCAAATAAGACCTATCATTTCCGAGAACATAAAAAAACAACTTTGAGTCATGTTTGAACTGATGCAGCTTGGTCTGTGTTCTACTCACCCAATTTTTATATATTCAGAAACTAGAGTGTGTTAGATTTTAAAAAATGTATTGCACATGTAATTTGGGCTTACAGTTCCTAAGTTATTTGCTTTTCCATTTGATGATGCAAAATAGGCGAGGATTACCCAAAATGAGGTGGATGTTAAGAGATTAATCAGATAATCCACTAATGAAAGACAGGAAACTAAAGAGCTACAATAATTTTAGGAAGTAGTGGAGTTGTACATAGAGGCCATTGCCACTTTTTAAAGTTTGATAATTTTCAAGATAGCAATAGCGAAGCTTTGTCAAATACAATAGATTTGTTGAGACACTGATATTCAATGAAAAGTTATATACAAAAAATAAACTTTAAAAATGCTGTCTCTAATGTACTAAAGCTACTAAAGTCACAAGCTGTAAAAAAAAACTGGATCAGGACGTCCTTACACCTTGACTTTGCAGTTTATGTAATAAAAATATCAGAACTGCAAAATATATTGGATGTTCTTGACTAGATATACCCTGACTTTTTTCTGC